TTTGGCCTTTGTTTTTTTGGGATTGACTTACTTTGTTTAGCATGATATTCTCCAACTCCATTCATTTACCTGCAAATGCCATAATTTATTATTTTTAATGCTGAGTAATATTCCATTGTGTATACATACCACAGTTTCTTTATCCATTCATCTACTGAAGGGCATCTAGGTTGCTTCCATAGTTCAGCTATTGTGAACATTAATGTGGCTGCATTACTATAGTATGCTGTTTGTAAGCCCTTTGGATATAAACCAAGGAGTGGGATACCTGAGAGAAACGATGGTTCCATTCCAAGTTTTCTAATGAATCTCTATACTGTTTTCCAGACTGGTTGCACCAATTTGCAGTCTCACCAGCAATGTATGAGTGTTCCTTTTCCCCCACATCCTCTTCAACACTTATTGTTGTTTGTATTCTTGATAACTGCCATTCTGACTGGTGTGAGATGAAATCTTAGAGTAGTTTTGATTTTCATTCCTCTAATTACTAGATATGTTGAACATTTTTTCATATATTTGTTGATTGATTGTGTATCATCTTCTGAAAAGTGTCTGTTCAGTTCTTAAGCCCATTTATTGATGGGATAGTTTGTTTACTTGGTGTTACATTTTTTGAGTTCTTTATATATCCTGGAGATTAGTGCTCTATCTGACATGCATGTAGCAAAAATTTGCTCCCAACATGTAGGCTCTCTCTGTACCTCATTGATTGTTTCTTTTGCTGAGAAGAAGCTTTTTATTTTGAGGCTATTTTCTCGTAATGGTGCTATTTTTGCTTCTTTGATCCTCAGCCTGTGGGGCCGGGAGAAGAGGCAGGACGGGTCTTTGCTTCTTTGCTGCTTACAGATTTTGCTCTATCACTTTACCTGCCGCACCCCCCCCCAAAAAAAAAAAATTCCTCCCTAGAATCGTGACTTGCAGAATCCCATGTTTTCAGCCTGACCATCATCCACATGTTCTTGAAGCCATGCTTGACCAACCCCTGGTCATTCCCCTTTCCCACATAGGCACTTTCCCTGAATCGTTACCTTCCTGGTGAAATCAATATAAACACCAGTGATTCTTCCCCAAATCTGGCCCCTCCTTTCCTTCACCTGCTCTTCATTATTGGTCTTGAACTCCACCTTGCCTGACCCACTCATTCCCTCTGTCATATCCTGGACCCTCTCATTATCATTATCTGCCATTGCTAATGTCAATTTTAGGTATCTCACCCTCTGTCGGCCTTTTTCCTTGTTCATTCCTTCTGGCACCCAACTTTGGGGTGTGCCAAGTTTCCATCCTGATAACTTTCGATTGTGTTAAATTTCCATTGCTCCTGACCCACCACCTTGGTCCTTGTTTTTCTCCTTATTCAGCTTTTGTCCATGGCCCACTGTTGTAGTCATTCTCTTGAAGATACTGCCTCGTCCCTCTTTTTCTTTGTCTTAGTTTCCTTTTAACAATCCAATTCTTCATTCTGTGGTGAAACCAGCAAAGGCTGCAGAGCCTGTGGCTTCACTCGCTAGCGTCACTGAACTCATGACCTCCCAACAGCAGGTGCCCGGTGAAGTTGCTGCTGGTGGCTGAACAATCCACATATCCACTTTCCTCAGGAATGATTTCATGTCTTCACTTCTCTCCTTAAATCCCCAACTCTTCTCCTCATCTGATGACCCTGCTTCCTGTTTCATGGAGGAAATAGGTTCAGAGACTCTTCCTTCTCAAACACCCTCCCAGCACCACGGGTGGGCTTGGCTCACCTGAGCCCAAGTGGGCTCAGCCCACACTCCCACCCAAAGCAAGCCCCTCACTTGGTTCTAGATGCGCAGTCTCAGCCACTGTGCAAGCTGCTTATTCCCTGTGTCCCCCCTCTATTCCTTCTACTAGGTCATTCCCATCAGCATAAGAGTCTGATGGGATGCCTCTCTACAAAAGGAAGCCTCCTCCCTGGCCCCAGCTGTCAATTCTCTCTGCTTTTCATTGTTCTTACCGCCAGGCTCCTCACTGTGTTCACTGCCCCCTCCACTTGTAATCTTTTCCCAATAGAATTTTATTTCCACCACCTGTTGGAACCACCTTTATCAATGTCAACCAGACAGCCTTTAGTGTCTCCCATTGCCATTCCAATGACATGACTTCTGCCTTCTGAAATTCCAGCATAAAGTCTCAGCCCCCATCTTCCTCCCCTAACAGCAGCATTTGGGAACCTATCAATGGTGTGTTTGGATGTGTTCCTCACAGTCCTTATCTGTAATTATGAAATTCAAGCTGCTCAGAAAACTGAAATGGTTTTCGTAACTCATGACAGCAAAACCCGATCTGAACACTGTAGATTCTTTATTTATCCTACTCAGTGGCGATGCTGATCCATAACGACATAGAAAACTGCTGTAATTGATAGCAAAGTCAAGCCTCAGACCCTCCTTGGAGGTGTTACATAATATACAGTTTATACAGCAGAGTGCATCCAGCCCCAAGGAATCTAGAAAAACAGTTATGGACCTGGAGTAGAAATCTAAGATTACATTCAGGAAGATAAATTTATTTGTAACTAGCCATATTTTGATCATATATTAGCTTTAGAAAACAATGTTATTTTATGGGAATGAAAATAAACATTGGTGTTATATTTATTTATATCAAATAACATATTTAAGATAGTATATATCTTAATTTTGCATGAAACATATGTATATGTATATCCATTATCCTAATCCAAAGCTAATGGGGTCACAGTGACCCACGAATACTGTTATTTTAAAATAATTTGTCTTAAAATAATTTCAGATGTAAATTACAATTTGCATGTTAGATCTATCAACTGCGAAATCAAAACTAAAATTGTGTGACTTTTTGGATTACTTCTCAGTGAATAAAACTGGTCACAGTAGACTTTCAAATCATTACATTATTTCTCAGTTAAAAGACATATAGAAATGATGCAGATACAAATACCATGACAATAAAATGGAACTAAAGAAACTTCTTCCATCAATTGGCAAATATACAGTTATGTTTTAACCATACTAATATTGAGTAAAACTAATTTTCTTTAATTATTTAAAGTTACATGGGTAGTAATTAAGATATTTTAAAAATTATTTTTAAAGGGGTACATTTTTATATCTCAGCAATAATCCTTTATATGTTGGGGGAACCTAATTGGAATAGAAGACAGATATGAAATAAATATTCATGTGTGTGCTTTCATATATTTTTCTCCTCAATTTTTTACATTGAAAAATTTCTAACCATAGAAAATTTAAGAGTAGTGATTATTAATATTCACACACAATCCACTCATACTCATTAGCATTTTGCAATCTTTGTTTGCTGAGCCATTTAAAAATAAGTTGTAGATATTATCACTTGTCAATTCCCTAAGTCTTTGGAATGCATTTCCTAAGAATGAGGATATATTCTTGTAGAGCTATAATGATTATATCAAAACATTTAACAATGATGCCATAAAGTTTTTTATATTAATAATAATTTTATATCATATTCAAATTGTCTCAGTAAGATCTTTTATGGGCTTTTGTATGTATATTTATTTATTACTTTTTTAGCTAGTGTTCAATAAAGATTGTGTGTAGAATTTAATTGTCAGGTCTTTTTAGTCTTCTGAAATCTAGAACAGTCCTCTGGCTTTGTTTTCCTTCGTGACATTGGGATTTTGAAGACTACCTACATGTTAATTATTTTGAAAAATGTTCCCATATCTGTATTTCTCGAATTATTTCTTGATTAAACATTTTTGGAAACAATTCTTTATAGGTCTCATTATGTATTTCCTCATGGTATCATATTAGGAGGTATATAATGTCACCTTGCTCCATAATTGGTGCCACTCAGTTTGATTGATTGGTTAAAGTGTTAAGGTATCATTTTCCCTTTTTGGTTAAGAAATCAGAGTTAGAGCTCATTGGTAGGGTACTTTCCTAGCATTCATGAGGCCCTGAGATCAATCCCAAGTACAATAAATGTTAAAGAGTTTTTGCATCACTATGACCAAAAGACCTAACAAGAACAACTTAGAGGAAGAAAAACCTATTGTGTCTCATGGTTTCAGAAGTTCAGTCCATGGTCAGCTGACTCCATAGTTCTTGGCCCTAGGTGAAGCAGAATATCATGGTGGAAGTGGATGGTGGAGAAAGGAAACTCAGGACATGAAAGAAGGAAGGAAGTTTTTCAAACAGGAAATGATGAACAAGAGAATCTTGGAACATCGGGAAGGAAGAATAAATAGGAGAAATATGAGTATATACAAGGGATTATATATAGTGGTTTTTGAAACAAAAATTATAATGCTACTGGACACTCAAAACAATAATATTTAAAAGTAAGGAAGGTAAAGGAATTGAAGCAGAAATAAGGTGTCCACACTTCACTCAAAGTGGTAAATGTTGATACTCGTTCAACAGTCTCCTGACTTTGAGGACACACATGTATATATGAATAGAAAGAACAGTCAACTAGGAAATTATGCAAAGAGGTGGACTTGAAAGCACTATAATTATTGCAAGATGATTGGAGGAGAGGGTAGTGTTTTCAAATAAATGGTGCTGGGACAACTGTATACACACACTCAAAAGAAATTAAAGCTGTTTATTTTTTATTTTTGAATCTTAGTGTAGTAGGTTAAAATACTTATCCCATGGCTTGTATTTTGCTTGACAATCATGTGTTTTATAAATCAGCAAATAATTACCTGGACTTTCTATTTCTTTTAAAATATCAGAAAATCTATTAATTCTCACATGGCAACAGTTGGTAGGTGCAGAACATAGTGTCTCCTCTTTTAAGTGAGAGTTGGAATTTTCAGGTTTCCCACACTCACTTGGGAATTTGTTAGTGAATTACCACAGGTTGTGTCAGAGAGATTCTATGTCTCTGTTATCCTTGGGGAAAATATTAGTTTGATCTGTCCATCAATTTGCATAACAGAATACGTGAATGAAAAAATTTGTAAATTCTCTTTACTCACCACAACTAATTAATGGTAAATATTTCTTCAGCTTGAAGATGGAGCCCAAGACTAAAGGATTAAAACAACAGCAGCAGCAGCATAAGAAACTTCTGGCAGCCATGCTTTCTCAGGATTCCTTTGAGTCCATCCACAGCCCTACCCCATCTGTAACAGAAGAAGACATTGACAACGAAGATGATGCAATGGAGTTGCTGGGTAACTTTAAAAATTAATAATTTATCTCTTTCTTTTTTCCTCTTGTATTATAAAGTATGCAGTGGTTAACAGGTTTTTTAAAAGTTTTGAATCATTTTGTCTTAGGCAAAAGAGAACATTTAAACATATTCTTTAGATTAGACTTTCATGAAGTTAAATGTAAGAACCAAATTGAAATCAGCTAAGCATGTGAAATATTTATTAGACTGTATTTTGTGCTTTGTGTATGCAGCACTTTGCCTTCTGATACTTAATCAAGCTTTATTGTGTGTGCAACTGTGATAAAAATTCAAGTCTGTCTGCTTTATTCTCTGATTATAATTCCCTTGATCACACCTATTATCTTTAATATATATCCAAAGTTCACATTTCAGCCCTCATCTCAAGATGTCCCTCTGTTACTATAAGGATGCTTTAGAAAAAAATAGAATAAAGTTGAAAGAGGCAGTTAGTAAATTAGTGTTTTATGTGTTTCATAAATGACAGGAACATTTGCAAAGATTTTTAAGTCTCTTCAGGGTCATTACTTTCATGAAAACTATTAATCTTGTATATATAGAATATCTTTTTATATGTCTTAGTGAAGCATATGTATGTTTTGCTCCAGTATAAATTTCTCTTATTTATTCATTTATTGTGGCACAAGGGATTGAATCCAGGGCCTTTTGCATGCTAGGCAAATGCTGTACCACTGAAATATACCCCTAACTCCCCCACACATAGGTATTTTTTAAATTGAGCCTCACTTTGGAAAATCATTTTTTCAAAAGAAGAAAATGAAATTTTATTTTAGAGAGTTAGCCATCTGTAACACAATGTGTTTTTAATTCAGTGATATCAGTTTGTCCATATAAATATTTAAAACAATTTCTGAATATTTTTGTGACAAGATACTACTATATTTAACTGGAAAGAGAAAAAAATAAGGTAAAACTTTAAAAGCTTCACATAAGTTTTACATATAAAATATGGAATGGAGTCCCAGGGGGAAAAAGAAATTTTCTAAAAATATTTTTTTTCTAAATCACATTTCTTGATTTAAAGTGTCAATAGTAGTAAAGTACTTTCATTATAATAAATGATGCATGTCTCCATATTTAGACTTCAGAGGTGTTACATAGTCAATAATGGCAGGTTCAAAATGGTTCCTGGTATAATAACTGCATTTGTTCCACAATTAGGGAGACTGTATAGTAGCATTTTTACTACATGCAATTAATAATTTTTCTTTTTCTCTTTTTGCATTTTTTAAAAGCAATTAAGTCTTTCTCCTCACCTCTAAATCATTAGTGTGGTAGATGTGCCAGATGTAGTCACAGTATCTGCATTCAACTTCCATTCAACATTCAATAAACATTTACTGAGCACTTATATGCTAGGCTGAGCTTGGTCCAGGGGATATAAAAATAAAATAATAATTGTCTGTTTGCAGGAACTTTGCACTGAACAAAGCACTCAAAATAAAAATGTAAATACACTCTGGTGGTGTTGTCTACCTGCAATAATTGGGCTAAGCACCCACTTTCATATAAAGGCAACATTTAATGCAGAAGTGAGGGACGGTGATCAGAGAATGTGTCTTAGACATGCTGATGCCCCTGGTTAGTCCTGAAGGACAAGTAGGAATAAGATTAGTGGGTGTAGTGTGGTCATTACTCCTGTAGGTTTGTTCACAGAGATATGGGCCCCTCTGTGACTGGTCTTCTGTCTTGGTCAGTGACAGTGAGGGGGATGAGACTAAGGGATACTTGAAGGAGACACAGGTTTCTTCTCAGTGCTGGTATCCCCTACATCTCAGCTGCTCTTTTATGAAGTTTCTAGTTTCCCAACTAAAGGATTGGGTTTTGGAGAATACCTAATGATAAGCAATTCATAATTGTCCTTTGTTAATTCTTTCTTTTTCATTTAGACATTTTAGTTTGTGTACTGAGCAAGTTTAATATTTAAGTTTTGACTTTCTCTTTGTAATCCCACACATCTCAGCACAGGTTACTGGTGGAAGAATAATGTTGGTTTCTAAGTTATAAAGATTCCCTGTTTTAACATGGAGTGTTCTAAGTCCACTGTACTATTCTCCAAATAGTACCATGTACATTTTCTTAGTTTTGAAACTGACTGAGAGTAACATGCAAAATACAAATGTTAAGTTCTTGAAAATTTATGTGATATCAAATTTTAGGACATAGGACTATTGTAAGATGCAATAGAGACATTTGGTATTTTAAATATCTTTTTGAATCTATGGTATGTTGTAGAATGAATATGCTAAAACTTATGTGTTTTTAAGGGTTTAACTTGTTATGTACACCAAGATATAACTGGCTGAAAATTTTATTTATCATGCATGGGAAGCACTCTGTAAACCTTATGAGGTAATGCATAAGTCAAAGATATAATTATTACCTAATATTAATATAAACAGTAATTATTCCTCAATAAAATTGGTTGATATAAAGGGAAACATTTTTTAGTTGAACTAGTAGATATTAGTAAAACTGGTGATTCTTGTTTCAGCCATGAAAATATCTAGCATTGCTAATATATTATTGATTAATAGTTAATTACTCAGTTGTTTAAGTGTATATATGTGGATATCTTTTTAACTGTTTTAGACATATGAAAATATTATATATGGCATCTATAATTTTTAAAATATAATAAGTGTTTTCTGTAAGATTGTTTTAAATACTGTCTGTAGAGTCATAGTACAAAAATAGATTAATATAATATTAATGTACCTATCAGGTAATAAAATAGCCAAACTTGTAGAATTTTAATACACAACAGTTTTAAGCACCTTGGAAATTGATTCTGTAATTATGAGACATTAAATAATATATCTGCTATGTAACCTCAAACCATGAATTCTCAACCACAAATGCAAAACATTCTTAAATATTTCAGTAGTTATTTTGGCATATAATGGCCACAATGAGTAAAATATTTTACTAATAATTTTTCTTAAAAATTATTAAAATCTAGCCAGGCATGGTGGTGCATGCCCATAATCCCAGTGATTCAGGAGGCTGAGGCAGGGCAATCATAAGTTCAAAGACATCCTCAGCAACTTAGAAAGACCCTAAGCAACTTAGTGAAATCTTATCTCAAAATATAGAAAAATAGAAAGGGATGGAGATGTGGCTCAGCAGTTAAGTACCTCTGGGTTCAATGCCTGGTACCAAATTTTAAAAAAAGATGTATTGAATTCAGTTTTTTTGAAAATATGGTGACAAGGTGTCATGATAGAAAAAAAAGTAATTTATAAAAACTATAGTTTATTCCATTCTTCTCAAGAAAATTTTGAAGGGCTTCATTAGTTTAAAATATTTTTCAGTTTGTAAATATGAGCCCATTTTTAAAATATTGCATGCATTTATCATCTTTTACTAGTTGAAACTCAAATAGCTATTATGTGTTTGATTTTTCTCCATGTGATTTATACTGATTTGTATTCATTTTTAAAATCCTCAGAATTATATTTGACAGACATAACTGGCTTTCTTACAAATTTTAGTATGAAATATACTACTTGTAAAAAAATTTTTAGGCTGTCTTAGAATTGATGCTGAGGCATATATCTAAAAGTCACAATTCCAGAGATGCTTAAAAATAAAAACATTAGTCATGCTTTATGCTTTCCATCCTTAGCTCATAATTATATAAAATTAAAAATTAAAATTATATTGCCAACCCAAATAAAGTTATTACAAACAGATATCACTTGTTTTAAATTGAGTAATCATGAACAGTTTATAATTTTACTGATTATTTTACTGAATGTAGTCACTGAATTTCTGTAACCTCAATATCATGCCAAATTTTGTAAAATAAAAACTTAATTTGTTAGAGGGACTCATTACCTTAAGGCATTCTTTTGGCAAATTGTTTTACACCCTGATCAACCTTTTAGAAAAAGAATATTTACTGTTGTTTTTTAAACCGAAGACCCCTTAAAACAAAAAGCTCCCCATCTTTGCAAAATAAGAACACACATTTCACCTAGTGAAAAATGAATACTTTTTCTCAATGATGTCAACATTAAAAAAAGGGACAGGACCCTAACTGTTTTCTTAAAAATTACCTTCTCTCTCTCTCTCTCTCTCTCTCTCTCTCTCTCTCTCTCTCTCTCTCTCTCTCTCTCTCATCTATCTATAATTTAAGGTATATAGAACACTGTAAAACACAAAGTACCATACATATGCACTTTTGTCAATGTTTTTTGTATTTTTTGAGTATTGATGAATGGAACTATCGGGATGACAGAAAAATTGTCCCTTAAAATGAGGATTAAAAGATTCTTGACAAATGTCTGAAGATTTTGAAAAATTAAATCTGTGTATCCTCCAATATTGCTTAAAATACTATATGTAAGGTTATTCAATACAATACAAAAATGATTTAATATAGAATTAGTACATATTGGAGAATAACATACCCCAACATGTGTTGTTTTAAGATATAACAAATTTTTAAGAACCACTGAAGTTAGTGCTCTAAATCTCAGATACTGATAAAATAACTTCCCAATCACCTCAATCTGAGTAGGTTTCATCTTGAAATATATGATATTCTAAAAATTTCCAGTAATTATTGTGACTGTTAATGACCACAATTAACCAGATTATTGAAAATCTGCACATGTATTTTTTTACTTTTCACTAAATCAATTTGCATAGTTGAAAAAAATAGGACTTTATAAAGATGTCTGAAAATATCTTTCACATGCTAAATAGTGTTTTCTCCTGGTAAGCCTGTGTTTTACAATAGCAGTCCTGTGAAATGTTCCTCACTACAGAGTTTTCACTTATGTTTCTGAATCCTAACTTCGGCTGTTTTTGGTGCCATCTCTGCCTGCACTAATGCCAAGTGAGTGCAGGTTGAAGTGTGGCCTTTGAGGAGCTAAGCAAGGCCCTGTGCTTGCCTTGCCATAATCCAATGACGACATTTGAGAAAATCCATTCAAACACATTCATTCAGCAAGTATCATGCACCTGCTCGGT